CCCTCGTGAGAGAGTCGCGCGAGATGAGGTCGCAACCGGAGCACCCGACCTCGGCAGGTCAGAGGGGAAACCTTATTATGCGTCACACTCTCTCTCGCTTTCTCTGCCTTCCCCTCACCACACCCCACTCTCTCTCTCTCTCTCTCTCTCTCTCTCTCTCTCTCTCTCTCTCTCTCTCTTCCTCTCTCTTTCTCTTTCTTTTCACGCTGGATGGACGTCGAAGTATATGTTTTGAAATCAAAAAAGAAATTGAAAAAATAAAGTCACGTGATGAACAATTATTAGTCAAGTTTCATTTATTAAACTTTACTGCAAATAATATTTCGAAAAAATACAATTTTCACAGGCCAAGAATATAGCGTAAAAAAGGAAAATGATAATGAAAACTTTTAAGGTAAGGAGAATATTCTCTCATTCTCGCGTCAAATGGTAATTATCGGGTATAGGAGAGTCAGCTCCAATGACCTTGATCTTCACATATATTGTCAAGGTCACTACTCTGAGTAACATTCAAAAGGTTTTAGCCGTCGCTCATTGTTTATTGAAAAGTTATTAACAAAAGAAGTTTCGGTAATTATAGACTATAGAAGAGTCAGCTCCAATGACCTTGATCTTGACATATATTGTAGAGGTCACCCTCCTGAGTAACTCTCAGAAGGTTTTAGCCGTCGCTCGTTGTTCGTTAAAAAGTTATTAACAAAAGAAGTTGCACAAAATGAGTATAATTTTTGGACACTGTATATACAAAAACGATACTGTGTACTGTTAACGAGCAATATCGAATAATAACTGCAATATCGAACGACTAGCGGGGGGTTGTGCCCCCCGCACCTCCCCTCAAAACTAACCTAACCTAATCTATCGTCACATTAACACAAAAGTTGAACACTTTAATAAACAATGACTGATGGTTAATGTGACGATAGGTAGGTTAGGTTAGTTTTGAGGGGGGGGTGCGGGGGGCGCAGCTCCCCGCTAGTCGTTCGATATTGTATATACAGTGTCCAAAAATTATACTCATTTTATGCAACTTCTTTTGTTAATAACTTTTTAACGAACAACGAGCGACGGCTAAAACCTTCTGAGAGTTACTCAGGAGGATGACTTCTACAATATATGTCAAGATCAAGGTCATTGGAGCTGACTCCCCTATACCCGATAATTACCAAATTTTTTATTGTCTCGTATTTTTTTTTCTTTTGAAAAGAGGAAGAGATCAACGATCTTCTACAATTTTCACTTTTTTCCACAGGAAAGAGCGAAAGTCCAACGAGAACAAGGAAGCTGGGCCAAGTACTGTATTTGGTGTTGCGACGTATACCACGTCGCCTGATAATCACAGCTCAAGCTGCAGAGCAGTTGTTGCAGCGGCAGCATGCGATCCTCTGTTTTGGAAAATTCCCTGATGTCTCTTGAGATTGGCACTTACAAGGACTCAAGTTCTATATCGACTGCCAGTATAGAATACAGCCCGCAGTCTGAGGAATCCGAATTGCAACAGGATATCATGTCGGAGAGCTATGACCCGGGCGAAGGACCCTCCAGTGGCAACTTGCAAGATAAATGCTCGATTTGCGACTTTGCTACGCACGATAGGTACATCAATCGCTCTTAATGAGAGCGATTAATATGTTATTAATATGTTATTAACGCGCTCGATAAAAGCGCGATAAGATACTGTCTCAAAGTACACTGAGAGAAAAATTATCTTAAAATCAACAAATATTTCCTTGGTGGGTGCCATTAACATATTTACTTAAATCTACATTCTCTTTACTTAAATCAAATATTGTTTACTTGATTTAAATAAAAAATATTTGATTTAAGTAAAGAGAATGTAGATTTAAGTAAATATGTTAATGGCACCCACCAAGGAAATATTTGTTGATTTTAAGATAATTTTTCTCTCAGTGTACTTTTAACTTTTATTCTTCAACTCTTCCATTAACTCGGAAGAGATATTCGTAGCAAACTTAGCTGTAATAAAATTTTAACTAAGTCTTGGTTAAGGTAACTAATCAATACGATAATGATTCTATTATGGCCACACGCACGTATTTTTCAAGTATCCTTTCTCAATATAGCACGTGGTGCATTAAAGTATGAAATAGTTCGAACAAACATTTTCAAATAAGAGGCATTTTGCTTCTCTGAGAAGAAAAGCATGTTGCAAAATGATTCACAACGAGATGAGATCACTTAATCATACGATATCGTATCGTTCCTCCTTCCAGGCAAGAGATCATTCATCATTTGACCGAGCACATCATGTCTAGAACCAACAGCAGCTTGGAAGTTATCAACATGGCGTTAAACCAGTTGCGGCATTTCCATAACCAGGAAAGGCATTCCACGCCGTTAAGGAACGACAGCCAAGACGACGACAAATGTGCTGAAGAGCCGGGAGTGCTGGTGCCCCGCATGAACTCCCAAGGCAAGGTAAAGACCTTCCCTTGCAAGAACTGCGACTTCAAGGCGGTGACGAAACTCGAGTACTGGCGTCACATACGGATCCACATTAAGCCGAGCAAATTGATGTGTTGCTACAAGTGCCCGTTTGTGACTGAGTACAAACATCATCTCGAGTACCACCTGTTGAACCATACCGGTGCCAAGCCGTACAAGTGTTCCATGTGCTCGTACACATGCGTGAATAAGTCCATGCTTAACAGTCACATGAAGTCGCACTCGAGCGTCTATCAATATAGGTGCATGGATTGCGAGTACGCCACCAAGTATTGCCACACGTTGAAGCAACACCTGCGCAAGTACAATCACCAGCCAGCGGCGGTATTGAACGTGGATGGCACACTGAGCCCGATGGTGATCGATGTCTACGGTACGAGACGCGGTCCTAAGCAGAGGCCAAAGAACAGCGACAATAAAACATCGACAGCGACAGCGACGGCCACTGCGACGGACGAGCTGAGCACGAGCACCGCCACGCAAACGATGGCCAGTGGCGAAGGTAACAGCAGCAACAGCAACGACAACGTCCAGCCGTCCACGTCGTTGTCACCGCAGACGTCACCGCAGGCGTTGCCGTCAATGTCGTCTAGATCGGCGCTCGTGCCCACATCATTCACCTTAGGCGTCAGCATGTTAGCCAATATATTCAACGGCAGAAAGGGTAACAACCTGGTGCTACAGAAGAACGAACAAACGAGTCAGGAGAGAGTCCATTTTCCATTCCGATCCCATATATGCACGCTGAACATGGAGACGCAACAGCTATTGCCAAACGGCGGTTTCGGCTTCGACGAGATTTCGCAGATGACGGCGCCCAGCGACGAGGCGGAACGGCAGAGCTCCGAGGGCGCAGAGGAGGAAATGGCGACTCCAGCGACGAGTACCGCGAAGGTCGGCGAGTACAAGACTCTAGAAGGCTCCACGATCGAGAACACGATTATGCCGTTGGACTTGACCTCGGGTTCCTCGCTGAGGAACGAGGTCGCCGCCAGCAAGCTGCCGTACCAGCAGTTACCGTTGAATCTGGCGAGCTCGCCGAAGGTTGGTACCAGGAGACGCAAGGGCGTCGCCATCAAGCTCGAGCATCGAATAGTGGAAAAGGAAGAGGACACGGACGAGGAGATGATGCAGAACGAGAAGCGACTCTGCCAGTCGATCTCGCCGCAGGCCGCGTCGGCTCCGTCGATCTCGCTCGTGGCCTCGCCGACCCCGTCGACCTCGCCGCAGGCCGCGTCCATTCCGTCGATCTCGTTCGTGGCGACTCCCACTTCGTTAACCTCGGTTATAGCCGCGTCGACGGCACCGTCGTCCTCCCCGGGAAAGGACTCTGCCGGCGACTCTGCGTGCCCGGGTCAGAAGTACGAGGAGACATCGATGCAGAGCGAATCGCCCGGCAGCCAGGATCGCTTCGTGTGCTCATACTGCGACATACCGTTCCCCGACCAGACGGTATACATTGCACACGCGCGTTATCACAGCATCGCGGAGCCCTTTACGTGCAATATGTGCGGTACATCGTACGGCAACATGCAAAAATTTAATTTGCACATCTTCGAGAAGAAATGTCTCAAACAGCACGAGATTGCGAGCTCCAGCTGTCATTGCACGGTTGAAAGGCTATGAAAGGTAGGACAAGTAATTACGAGCGTACCGGTATTCATTCGAAGCACGAGTCCTCCTCACCTAAGTCGATACTAATCAGAATGCAATTAATGTAAAGAAAATAACACTATAGCACACAACATAAAGTAACAGTTATATATATATGTAAAGACTCTGTTAATATACAATCGTTCGATGCAAGCAGAATAAAAGGCAAATGAGAGTCAAAAATCGCCGGTGTAATAGCGAGAATGGTAATATAAATGATCCAAATTTTTTACAAAAATTAATAAAACTTACAAAAAATCCGCGAACGTTTCAGATTGAAAATAACTCGGAATGAGTCCGAAATGTTCGCGGATTTTTTGCAATTTTTATTAATTTTTAAAAAGTTTTATTAATTTTTTTTATAAAAAATTTAAATCATACGCATTAACATTCTCGCTATTATACCGGTGATTTTTGACTCCCATTTGTCTTTTATTCTCTTTGCATCGAACGATAAAATAACAGTTAATGTAAAGAAAATAATATATGGAGATTACATATATACATATGTATAAAAAGTTGTAGAATTAGTAAAAGAGAGATTATATATTTTTGTATATTTTAGATAAATTAGCATATTTTGGGTAAATAAAGCGTATGCAAGAGAAGAAACAACGATCTTTGCGAATCCCCCGATTCAATGGACGCTTGTTCGTGTATTAAGGAAGTAGGAGTAGGAGTAAGGAGTAAGGAGTAATTCATGTACAAGTACCTTGTAGAGCACCTTTAACTTCTCTGAAGTACAATATGATATTTTTATTTATTTGTATTCCAATGATCGCCCGAATGTAGGAAGAATGCGTGAAGATAGTCGACGTGCGTTTTCATTCATGCCGTCGACGTGTCCTCGCGGGGATGATGATCCCGTTTGCAATTGAGTACCTAATATTGATCTCACGCGATGCGTTAATTTTTTTCCATTTCTTTTGCTATACTTTCTTCTTGATTTTTCTTCCTTTTGCTTTCTTCTTTTCTCACTGCCTCTCGATGCGTCTTTTTCTTTTTCCCTTTTATTTCTTCTAATCCCTCGATTCGCTCGCGTTAGGCATTGAACGACGCCGAAACGAATGTCTTAAAGAGTGGATACGTAAACTCTTTGAATATCAGCGGACCTCTCGCCAAGAGAAAAAGATGCCTTTTATTTGAGACTACACTTTTACATCAAGTAACTCCTTTATTGACAGTCCGCCATGACGTATGTCAGTTGGTGGTGTGACGTATTAGATAGTTTTTTTTTTATAATTATGAGCCCCGGTGCTCGTTCGATGCCGAGCGCGAGTCCTTCTCATTTCCTTCGATGCTAATCAGAATTCAGTCAAAGACATGAATGTGAAGAAAATGATATATAGAGATTACATATATATACATATATATAGAAAATTTAAAAAACTAGAAAAAGGGAGATAATATATTTTTAAATATTTTGGATAAATACAAAGCATATGCGAGAAAAGAAACGAAACGATCTTTGCAAATCCCCCGATCCAATGGAAGCTTGTTCGTGTGTCTTGACGTCGTCGAACTGAAGCGAACTAGTATGATGAACGGATCAACGATCGACTTTTTATCAGATAATTGTCTGACAATTGCGGATCATAAAAGAATCGTCTCTCGCGCGGAAAGAAAAACGGCACTCGAGCGATGTATATTATATGCAAATCTTCCATCTATTTTTGGAAAGATACTCCCATACGAAAAAAAAAGTAAACAAAAAGGACTTCGAGAAAATTAATTGTCATTTTTCCGACACAAATCTCGAATTGAGTTGAAATGGGAAGGTGTACCTGATTTATGCTTAATTTTACGGGTCACAGAGAGGAGAATTATGCATTAAAAAAAAAATATATATATATTTTTTTTTAAATGCATAATTATATATATATATATATATATATATATATATATATATATATATATATATATATATAATATATTTTTATATATATATATATATACACATATACAAATATGTACGTGGCACTGCCGTTGAAATGAGCTGAAATGCCGAGTTGAAATGCGCGTATGAAAATTACGATGGGAATAATCGCGGTATTAATGGACCACGGCTGGGAATGAACCTTGTTTGATCATACGGGCCAGGAAATATCACAGGTGGATATAACTGAGCGTAAGATAACAGTTGATGCGGGATGATGGCCAGGACGAGCAAATAATTTATTTGCTTGCCGCGCCGAGGAGGTGGAGAGACGCGCGTTCTCGCACTCGCCGCTTAAAATAAACCTCGTTTGAAATAATAACTTGCGTCCACTGACGCGCGCCGCTGATGCCTGGATGGCTGCAGCGCGCATGTATCGCGTTATAAATAAACTCCTCGGCTTCGCCGGGATCCCGTAATTTCGCATATTCGATCGGCCGGACGAGATCGCGGCGTTGTACGATGTTTCGCGCAGGGGGATAGATTAAGAACGATCGATCAACGTGACTGAGTAGCAACGGCCCGTACGTGAGCGTAATTACGAACGAACGAACGAACGAACCAACGATTGGTTGAGGCCGAACATTTTTGCCTCAGTATGTGGGTCAACGGATACTATATACGTGAGTTAACGTTTGTTACATCGGGGATTATTAAAATTCTCGAAACACTCGCGAACGTTCGCGGTTGCGTCGGCGAAACTCTCGTCCCACCTCATCTCTCTCTCTCTCTCTCTCTCTCTCTCTCTCTCTTGGTCTCTTGCACGCGAGCGCGAGGGACGTTTTACGTC